ATTGGATTTCATAATGCCCTCTGTCTCATTTCATTCCTTTATTGTATCTTTTTTTTTTGAGGAAGTTTAGTGTATCTTACTTCAAATCTTCCCTAAAATCATTTCCTTGATTTTTAATTGTTAAAATTTTTGAACATTATACTTTTTTACACAAAATGTCTTTTCTACCTTTCATTTAAAGATTTTTGTTTATAGTAGAAAATATTTTCTTGGATTTTCTTATTCCCTTTGTCTTTCATTTCTTAAATAATCAATTTAATGTCATTTCATGCATTCAGTATGAATTCTCTCGATTTTGCATTTAAAGATTTTTGTTTGTAGTAGAAAATATTTTCTTGAATTTCGTTATTCCCTTTACGTCTTTCGTTTATTAAATAATCAATTTAATGACCTTTCATGCATTTATTATATCTCCTTTCAAATCTTTCCTAAATTATTGTCCTTGAATTTGAATTATTAGGATTTGTGTGCATTATCTATATATACATATATATATATAGGGAAAAGTTTATATAAGGTTGCAACCTTAAAATGTAGAATCACAGATGCACCTCAAAAATCTATCGGAAATATTGTTTTAATGTTGAAAAAGCCCTCTAATCAATCATCTCGGCAATGTGATCTATGAATATGAAAAAAAAAAGTTTTTGAATATCGGAAATATTGCATCTTGGAACATATTATCTAGACCGTCCATTTTCAAGATTTTTATGTATTTATAGATCTACTTGATTTTAACAATTTTTCGAATTTAAAATTTTTTGATTAGGTATTAAAATAGATTTTAAGATAATACTAAGAATTTTTTAAAACAAAATTACATGTTATGCTAAACTTTTAAGGTGCACCTTAATTGGATTGTTTGAGGTTGCAATCTTATAGAAACCGCACCCATAAATATATATATATATATATATGTCAGTGATTTCATGCAACGGTTATATAGTAATGTAATGCAACAATCTTAAAAAAACCATTCGTGATCATCAGATCAGCCCAGATTCAATCTGAGATGTTGGGCTCATATGTTCATATGAGCTAGTGGGCTAATCCCATATATATATATATATATATATATATATATATATGTGTGTGTGTGTGTCAGTGATTTCATACAACGGTTATATAGTAATGTAATGCAACAATCTTAAAAAAACCATGTTGGGACCATTTGTTTGATCCAAACTTTAAAATACAATCTCTTTTCATTCGAATGAACAATCACAAAAATAGAAAATTTTGAAAAAGCAAACCTATAAAGTATTTTTTTAGCCCAATTAACATTGGCCGTCCATTTTGGTGAGATGCTTAGATCTAAGCCTTAGAATTATCTTTTTTCTTTCCAAATTTTTTAAATAACTTTATTATCATTAGATTAACAATATTAAAAAAGAAAAAAATGATCTTAAAGTCATAAAGGACTAGATTTTGAAATTCATCAAATGTACGGTCTAGATTCATTGTTGAAGGGTACTCATTTTGACCATATATAATGTGCAAATTAGTTTTTTCTTTTGTAGATTGATTATTGAGATGAAGAGAGTGTGTGCAAAATTCTAGGTCATACAAAAACCACAAACATGGTTTTCTAGAAGTGTGGTTGCATTATACTATAATACAACTGTTGCATGATATCACTACACATATACATACATACATATACCCAT